TTTAAAGCGATATATAGTAGCCTGGAAGCCAGCCTGAACCCTGCCCACAGAATTTTTTGGTCGGGAAGTTCGATCTGGATGTCCGTTAACATTGTATTGCTGTAAAGGTATTTCATACAACTTTTATCCCAAGGCAAATAATCCAAAAGAACTTCGCTGTTAGTATCACAAATTGAATCTGAAATGAGCGAAATGAAATTTATTTATAATGATTTGCTGCTCAAGAAATGTTTCTGATTATTATTATTATTATTATTATTATTGTTTAAAACGGTTGTGCGGCCTCATTTTTTTTTTTTTGTGGAAACCTTTTTATTTTTCAGGATTTTTTGATGAATAGAAAGTTCAAAAGAACAGCATTACAACAAATGTCTTCACTGTTCACCAGTTTAATGCATTCTTGTCTATGTTTCTGCTATCAGATGAGGCGAGCCGTAACAATGAGATGCACAGCTACTTCAGACATGCTTCTGTGACCCTGAAGGACATCATCAGTCAGCCTGGAATCTGGGACCCTTTTGTGTTGGGTTACGTTAATGTGAGACACGATCTTACCTCGTGCAATTTGGCGATTTTCTTTATATAAAGGGTTTGTTTAGACCAAAATGACAATTCTGTCGTCATTTACTCAAACTTAAAACTCTGTGAAACACAGCTTTGTACAATCAAACAAGCTCCAAAAAAGGTCAAAATACATCATAAAAATAAGAGGTCAAATTATGCATTTTTTGTGCAAAACAAACTTAGTCATATTTTAAATTAAATTACATGAACAAATGAGACTGCTTAACGGCTTACATTTCAGTCTATTGGTTGCAGCACACAGATATTATATTATTTAGAAGATTTAGAATTAAAAGCACAAGTCTAATGCTGTCTATATGTTTTATCCGCTGCAGATGCTGGAGTTTTACAACGATGAGGACGGCGCTCTGCAGATTCTGGAGAATTACGCTTACAACAAGGATTTCCCAACCAATCCCAATGCTCATGTGTACCTGTACCAGTTCCTCAAGAGACACAATGCCCCAGATGACAGACTCATCGGTTCATTAAGGGTATGAAATGGTTCAGCCAATCAGAATGTACATAAAGTTTCTGATTAAAATGATTGATTTATTCTGGTTTCTGTTGCTCAGATTCTGCGCACTGTAGTCCCGAGTCATGAACTGATGCTGGATCTCTGCTCTCTCCTGCTGAGCACCAGTACGTATGAAAACTAGACATTTCTGATTGGTGTTTAGCTTGTTGCTGTGTGGTTATAAGGATCATCCTCCACTGTAAGTCTGTTGGGTTTATTTGTTAGATTCATCACCCACCAGTAACTGAACTCTATAGTATGGCAAGCCGTTTTAGCTTTTATTCATTTCCAGGTTATGAATTCTTGATATCAACAATTCCATTCTTTGATATCAACAATTTAATTTTCACTAGTGAAATGTCACCATAGGCTGCCATTCAAAACCAATTGTTGATATCAAGAATTGATTTCATTCTTACTAGTTGAAATTCTATTTCACATATCAGAAATACAATTATTACTAGTAAAAACCTTAATTTTGATATCAAGAATTAAATTGTTACTAGTTGAAATGTCTATTCTCGATATCCACAATTGAATTGCTACTAGTAACAATGTTCATTTTTGATATCAATAATTCACTTTTTACTAGTGACAATTTTAATATCTATTTTTACTAGTGACAATTTTAATATTATATTTTAAAATCATGAATGTGATTGTTACTAGTAAGAAAGCCATGTTAGATATCTGAAATAATATTGATATCAGAAATACATTTTCATATATCAAAAATGATCATTTTTACTAGTAACAATTGAATTGTTTATCAAGAATTCACATTTTTGCTAGTAACCATGTAATTATTAATATCAAATTATATTTCTACTAGTAAAAAAATTAATTCTTGATATCAACAATTCATTTTGAATGGCAGCCTATGGTGAAATTTCACTAGTGAAAATACAATAACAGATATCAGCAATTAAATTGTTGATATCAAGAATCTAATTGTTGATATCAAGAATTCATATCCTGGATATGAATAAAAGATAAAACGGCTTGCCATACTATAAAGCAGACCACTTTGATTTAAATCAGTTTTTGCTTTTTTTTCCCCAGGCCTCATGAGCGATCTAGAAGAAGCTCTCAGCGTTTCAATGGACCTTCTGGAGTTTTCTAGTTGGAAAAGTGACGTAAAGGCTTGGTCGTGTCTTCTGAACATTATAAAGTTACTCAAACGGAAGTGAGTTTCTGTTAATTTACTTCTAAAAAAATAAGTAGAATAGCCAAGTGCAAGTGAGATGAGTAAATGCACACTCGCATTTAGTCTAGAACTACAACAACCATCATGTTTACACACAACTCCTCTGCACTTACTGAATTTCTCAACATGAGGACCGGAAAGCTGTCAATCTATAAATGTGCAAAAGTAACTTATTTGAGTACTTATTTGAAAAGTAACTCATATTTTGCTGTAATATACTACTAACCATCTCAACCAGGCCCTGCCCCTTTTTTCTGCATTTTAATTATTTAAATGTGGAATATTTTGATGTGTTGTGACTCAAGACTACAATGGAGGCGTTTCAGGAGTTCAGAAACAGTGACACTGATATAGAGGAGAACTCCCGCTGGAGGACTTTGTGCTCAAACACCAACACTAAACTCACTAAAAAACATGTGAAAAAGCATCATCCTCTCTAATGTTTCTTCTAATGTTGATTTGTTCTCATTTAGAAAGCGCAAGCACTTTGTATTGAAGGAATGGAAAGTCAGGCGACCGCTGTGGTTCTCCTTTCACTTCAGAATCCATTACGCCAGGGTAGACATAATGGAGAACGCCAGTCTTCTGCTGATCAAGAGTGAAACTTTAAAAGTTTTAGGTCAACACTGTAAGTACATGATTATCTTTTTCCAGATGAAACGATCAAGTTTATATTTAGTGTCATCAGTAGAACCAGAACAGAAACCTGTGTGTGTTCAGACCATTCCTTATATGAATTAAAACCTGTTTTGTCTTTTGACTGTGACATATTTAATAAGTTCCTGAACATTTTGTTTTCTTTTCACAGTTTTTGAATACAGAAGATACGCTCAAAACGTATCGAGAATATGTGAAAGTAAAATGGACACATGTCCATTCAGGAAGTTGAGGAAAAGGAAGGAGGAGTTGGAGAAGAAAAGGATTAAGGAAGAGGAGAAGAAAGAGATGAAAAGGTTGGAACAGGAAATGATGGAGAAAGAGATCAAAAGGTTGGAGAAGGAAAAGATGGAGAAGAAAAATATGGAGGAGGAGATGAAAAGGTTGGAGAAGGAAAATATCGAATGGTTGGAGAAGAAAAAGATGGAGAAGAAAAATATGGAGGAGGAGATGAAAAGGTTGGAGAAGAAAAAGATGAAGAAGAAAAGGATGATGGAGAAGAAAAAAAAGAAGATGAAGGAAAAGTTGGAGACGGAAGAGAAAGATGGAGAAAAAAAGAAGAAAAAGAAGGCTAAGAAGTCTAAATGCACTGTATAAAAATCATGTAAATTTGAGATTTTTCGAGATTTGTACCAGACAACATTTCAGTTGTCCAAGTATGATGCAAGACTCGTCCTTTAAACGCTGTGTATCTGCTCATGTTGAGCTTCACTTTCAATTACAGTTTTTCTCATTCACTTTGGCACATTTCTCGAGTCATCTTTAATATTTGCAAATGAAAGACTTGTGTATTTTCAGTTAACTTTAGTCAGATGCATTAACAATGTTACTATTTCTCAGATGTAATCAACTCTATCTGTCTTGGTGTGAACCAAATGGCCCATAGATGTGTGGCCAGGGCCGGACTGGGACCAAAAAGTGGCCCTGGACTTCTTTTTTTTTATTGCAAATGAACAAAACAGTAATACATACAAGGTAAGTAATCAGTGACACACATCTACAATACAGGCGAGGGGAAAAAAATACAAAAGAGGCCAACATAGTCATCGAAAGTGGTGTATGTAGGCACACGAGATCCTTTTTGTGACGGATAGGGGGAATTCGGTAGTATCAGTATAGTTCTAGTGAAGCTAATATTCACTTTAACAATCACAACAATAATATATTAATATTAGTATTAGTGGTGGTAGTATCTATGATAGTATTCACAATGATAATATTCATGACAATAGTAACACTGGCTCTAGCAATTTACAACTGTTGTTCTCAACAATGGTGACAATAAATTTAGCTCAGTTCACTGTACATTTGCTCTAAATTAGTTCATGGGGCCGACCCAAAACTGCCAATGAGTACAACCAACAGACCCCCAGACGCAGACATCTCCCCTCGATTCAATAACCGGGTCACCACAAAAGGCACCCCCAAACCAAGCTCCCCCAGTTTGTGACCTGTTATGGGTGGTTGGCCTTTTTTTTTTTCTTCCTCCATGGTTTGGATCAAGGTGTGCATTGGTTAGCTCCCCAGCCAGAGACACCAGTCAAGTCACATTTATTATATAGTGCTTTTTACAATACAGATTTTATCAAAGCAGCTTCACAGTGATAACATGAAAATACGTAGAGAAGGACTTTGTAACATTACAGCAACATTAAACGCACTAAAAAAAGCATCATCCTCTCTAATGTTTCTTCTGATGTTGATTTGTTCTCATTTAGAAAGCGCAAGACCTTTGTATTGAAGGAATGGGACGCCAGGCGACCGCTGTGGTTCTCCTTTCACTTCAGAATCCATTACGCCAGGGTAGACCTGATGGAGAACGCCAGTCTTCTGCTGATCAAGAGTGACGTTTTAAAGGCTCTAGGTGAACGCTGTAAGTACATGATTGTCTTTTTCCAGATGAAATGATCAAGTTTCCATTTAGTGTCCTCAGTCGAACCAGAACAGAAACCTTTGTGTCTCAGTTTATGTGTGTGGAGTCTGTGTGTGTGTGTGTGTTCAGACCATTCCTTACATATTTAAAAAGTTCCTGAACATTTTGTTTTCTGTTCACAGTTTTAGAATACAGAAGATACGCTCAAAACTTAAAGAGGAAATCTGAAAGTAAAAGAAAGGAATGTGCATTGAGGAAGAGCAAGAAAAGGAAGGTAAAGAAAAAAAGAAAAGATGAAGACCAAATGTAAAATTTTTATGTTTTCTAGATTTGTACAAGACAACGTTCTAGTTGTCCATGTATGATACAAGACTCTCTTTATATACGGTGTATCTGCTCATGTTGAGCTTCACTTTCTATTAAAATAATGGAATAGAGTGAACTTGATGTCAGTCTTGATTGTGACCAGCAGGGAGCGCAAATGCTGCGTTTCTGAAGCCTGGGTGTGCGTGTTTGTATATAAATCACACACAATTTAATTAATTGAAAATAAAAACAATAAATATAAATATTTATAAATTTTATATATATATGGTGCTAATTGTGGCAAAAAAAATGTGTATGTATATATTAGGATGTAAACATGAGTAACTTGGTTTTAATGGTATCAAAAACTAAATTAAGTTAACCTAAGTAATTTTTGGTTTAAGATTTTTTTTTTAGAATCAAAAATAATCCAACTAGTGATATTTTAACCGTTTATATACGGTTGCAGTCACCTAAATGACATCTCAGTAAAAAAAAAATGATGCTTGCGTAACATTTTTACTGTGTAATTTTAATTATTCTTCATCTTTGATCTTTTATTCCTTGTATGATCTTCAAAAGAGATCTAATATTCAGAGTAACTGTCTCTTAAATCACTCAACCACAGATGAAAGGCAAGAAACAGCACTTTTTGTCTGTATGATCTGAAGTTGTTCGGCTTGTTGTGTAAAAATAGATTTCGAGCTCAGACTCAGACAGATGGATGTAATAATCCCATGGTTTGTGTTTGAAACGATGAGCATCTCGTCATGTGCAGCAGGTTTCGTGCGTTGCTCATCGTGACCATCTGAACACTTATGCTGAGCAAGATGTTAAAGCTCACAGAACTGAGTCATGCAAGTGAAGGATGCTGAAATCCTGGATTCGTGTCTCATTCCTGTTGTTTTTCAATGTAGAAACTTTTCAGTCAGAATTGTAAGTCATTCTTGCAGGCCCATCAGGAGCATTTTGCATAATTTGGATTTAAGCTGTGAATCCAGGTCATATTTTGTCCCACAAAATTCTTAGATGGATAGATATACTTACCATGGTCTGTCTGAATACTCGATTCTGATTGGCTGGAAGGTGTGCAATAAAACCGTAAATGCACAAGTCAGTTTAACCCTTGTGCATCCTTGTGGACATTTTTGTCCTTTTCAGTTTTGTTTTTTTGATCACTTTGCCTGTGTTAAAGCTAACTGCAAAAAACTTGGCACAGGTGTGTATTTTTATTGGAATTTTACTATTTCACTGTCATTTTCTTAAAAAAATATTTTTTGCTTTAGGTACAAAAAATACTCCCTCTCAGCCCCTTTTGGACAAAAATGTCCCCATTGAAACCCATTAAAACTGCCATTTTTAATCCCCGGTTCAGTTAACTATAAAATTATGCAATCTTTGTTAAGAGGCTTTCATTCTGATGGCAAGGCTTCAAAATTTTATTTTTTACTATTTTTTATCAGATGGTGTCATTTTTTTTTAAGTTTGGCCTATAAAACAAATATCGCTTTATTCCTGTTTTCTGGTTCGGCATATTATAGAGCCAACTGGATAAATTATGCAACAATATTTGTGTGGGTGTGTTGGTATGGATGTCAGAGTGTGGTTAGTATGTGTGTTATAAAAAAATATGTGTGTGTGTGTGCGCATGTGTGTGTTTGTCAGACTGAGAGAGAAAAACTGCAAATTCAAATCCAATCACTGTGAGCTCCAGTGGGGTTTTGCTGGGACCCAATGGGGAAAATATGTTACTACGCCCAAACAAACTGTTACTGAAAGCTCATTTTTTGAGATATCATCCTCAAATTTGGAACACAACCTATTTAGATTTATGGCTTTGATTTTATTGTAGTTTTGAGTTCAACCTGATTTCAAAAATATATATTTTATATAAAATATTATTTTATAAATAATTTTCATAAACTTATACCTATATAACTTTTTTTTGGATTTCCTTATTATTATTTTTTTACTTCAGAAATAATCTGCAAAGGGTCTTCTTTAAAATGATACCAAACTTAAGTCTGTGCTCCAAAGCATCACATTTTTATGACAGTTTTTTGACATGGACATTTTTGTCCTCTTTTTACCTATGTGTAACTTTTTTTAATTGATGCACAAGGGTTAATTACCGCTCTATATTAATGTGCTGTCTATCGTGCACATGCATGCAGTTTATTCCCATTAAAAACATCAGCCCAACACAGGTAACATCTTGAAGTGTATCATATCCATTTGAACAGGGAAAATAATAGATTTTAATAGATTAAAATAATAGACAAACGCATTTAACCTGCACAAACCTTTAATGGAAACATGCATATGGTTTATTACTACAACACAATTAGAAGAAAAAAAAACTAATAATCTTTCTATTTTCAGAATTTGGTCGTTTTATTTGAACAAAATCTAGCTAGTTCATGAATATTTTTGGGGCTTACACAAATAAAGAGGTTGGGAATGACTGATTTAGGGCATAAACAATGGTTCTCTATTGCAAGGTTAATAATTTTCTTAATTAGGAAAGCCTTTAAGCACTGTCCCATCTTCGCAAATTGTGTTTGAATCGATGAGACAAAATAAAAACAACCTAATCTGAAAATAGAAACACATTAACAATTTATTTTTACTGATTTTGTATCAATAGTTCGTGTTTCCATCAACGTTTTGTACAATATAGTAGCTATGACAATTGTAGGACCGTATAATGAAATCAGCAAAAGCTATTGTCATTTTCCTCAGTTCATGTATTTCGGTCATATTTTTTTTATCAATCATTTCAGCAAAAAAAAACAAAAAAAACTTGTGCATTTCTTACCCCTTGGTTTCAAGTAAGCTCGCGAAAATTCTGGGTTCTTGGTATATACCCCTTCACCTCACCCCTACCCCTAGATCAAAATGAGAATTGGGATAGCCCTTCCTCTCACGTGAACGTGCAAAACTAAGGGGAAGGGGTAAGACAGAGAATTGGGATTCAGCCTTAATTTTAAAAACGTTTAAAAAATTAAATTATTTCCACTTTCCACATATTTCAATGTGATTTTTTGATTACAGTAATAAGTAAAGTTTTTGGGGCAGTCCTGCAATGAATTAATCATGACCGTATTTGTGGCACTGCCTTTAAACGATGCGAATTTAAAACACAAACGACTGTATTACACTAACGAGAGTGAGAAGCGCGACTGAGCAAAACACCTCTGCAAAAGAGGAAGTGGTTGTTCGTTTCCTCTTCTTCAGGGCTCTAAATATCACACCGCATGACGTCAGTTTTTCCACTGACTGATACTCACATACACACGTCTAAATATAATTTTATGCTTGTACCGGGGCAATAAAACAAGATCAGCTTTTTTAAGAGGTGAGCTTATAAAGTTAAGACACACTAACTCATTTTAATATATGTCTTATTATTTCTAGTGCAAAGAATAGATGAGTGCAGAATTTAGAAATCCTGTTTGGTGAAAATGACACTGCACCTTTAAAGCACTCATTAATATAAAGATAATATATCATATCTCATTAGTCACAGATGAGTAATTTTGACCATGGCATGAAGACATGTTTTAACATTTGGGACTCTGAGATAAGCGACTGTCGCCTACAAGGCCTGACGACGGCTATAAACTACACTGAACAGCAGTCATGGGCTTTAAACGGGACTGTAGTCAACACGAGTGAATCACAGCCGAACTCTGTCCACTTATCAGTGTTAATCTGCACTGGAGATCCATAACAACTCACAAGAACCTGTAACACTACATCATAACTCTCATTCATAAGTTATATTAATGTTATTGAAGGTTATTTGCTATTGAAAATGAATCTTTGAATCAAAGTTTCATAATAAATGGATGCATTAACATTATCTAAGTGTTATATAATGTAATCTAATGATGCTTGCAAAAATTAATGAAAATAATCAGTATGTCATTGACCTATTTATGTTTTTGTATTTGTATTTTATTAATAACTATTTTTGCCTTTAAAGTGTTGACATAATGACCTTACATTACTTACATTTTTTATAGTATTTTTTTTTTTTTACTTTATTATTATTTACCTTTATTTTACCAGGAAAAAGACTCACTGACATTAAAATCTCTTTTTCGGGAGTGTCCTGGCCAAGATAAGCAGCTTAGTTTACATGGACATTTAACATCAAACTTACAACACACAGACATAAACAAATCTCATTACAAAAATAAAAATATTAAAAAAAAAAATGCACCTAGTTACAAACATTTACACACAATTAGTTTACTCTGATGTCTAATTTTAAATATTTAAATTACAGTGCATTCAAACTTGTGTCCTGTCTCTTTAAGAACAGTTTGACCAAACTGTCTTCTGATTGGATAAATTGTTGTTTAATGACTAGGCTATTTTAATTTTCACCTTTAGGTGTTGACGTAGGAAGAACCTTTCAACATTTATATAATTATTTAATTTAATTAATGTATTCATTTAAAATTAGCATCATTATTTCAGTGCATTCACACTTGTGTCCTGTCTCTTTAAACCAGCTTTACCGAACTGTTTTCTAATTGGCTAAATGATACAGTAAATTCTCGTTGTTCTTTATTTTTATTTTCTATTTTTTGCCTTTAAATTGTTAACACAAGGAAGAACCTTACACTGATATTTTTATTATTTTTATTTTCAAGCTCTGTGTTTTTATTACAGTTCCGTCTCTTTAAGGCCAGATTGGCTAAATTATACAGCGAATTCTCTTTCTGATTGTATTTTATTTTTAATGACTATTTTAAGTTTTGCTTCTAAGGTGTTGACACCTTAGGGACATTATATGTTTTAGCATTGTTATTCTAATTCATTTTTGTCTGTTTTATTTTCCCCTCTTTTTGTATTTTAGTTTTAATGACTTTTTTATTTTCGCCTTTATATGTAGTTGAGCCCTATAAAATGTACAGCTATAATTATTAGATTAATTTATAATCATTCTTCAGTCCATTCTCACTCGCGTCTCGTCTCTTTAAACCGGCTTCACCGAACTGTCTCCTGATTGGCTGGCAATGACATCACCCTGCGCTTCCGCACGCGCCGCTCGCGCTCCTCCCCTTTCTGGGCCGGAGTTTCTCTCCATCAGCAGTGCGAGGCTTCATTGGTTCAGGATCGTGTCAGTCTGAAGTGATACTAGTGCGGACCCGCTACAAACTCCAGCTATCAGTGAGGAGAGAGCAAAGCAGGACGGGAGGAAAATGTTGCGGGTCTTTAGCGCCGGGACCGGCTGAACGGCTCAGACTGATCGATAACTCCCCAAACACATCGGAAGAAACAAGACATTGCTTAGAAACGCGCTAAATGTAAGTCTAATGCTCATATTTAACTATGAAGAGTTGTTTGATTTGAGTAGCTACACACAGTCCCACCCATAATACACATATATATGATGTGCTTTTAACTGTTGGTAACGTCATATTTACCATAGATGCTTATGACGTGCCAGTTTCCCCTGAAATCAAACTTAATGTCCGTGCATTACTCACTGTTATCATCATATCAGTCGAGTGTGAGGCTGTAGTTGTGGTGTCTTGACAGCTTCTGCTGTGCAAAGAAAACGATCTGCAAATTGCATGCATTGTCACCGCATGAAATAATGATGATGTCTAGCCATAGATGCAGAAGCTTTTCATATTTTATTCCCAGCACGTCCACATGCTGTGTTTGGGAATGGGCTGTCCTGTGTGTGTGTGCTCTTTTGAATTTAATGGGGTCAGCTATTCGATCTTGTACATTGAGAGTCTCGTGCACTTTTGAGGATCAAGAACATGTAGATTTCAGTGCAATATGTAGTTTACACGTCTCCTGCCAGTGTTTTCGGGTCGTTTAAGTGTGAAACTCTTGACAGCAAGGTTCAGTGCAGGTTCAATCGGGCCTGATGAGTACAGAGACAATATATCGCTACACAACAAGTGACAATAATGTGTCATGGATGGTTCACCCAATATATATATGTATATATATAATATATATATTTTATTAAATTTATATTTTATATATATTTTATTTTATAAATATATATTTTATTGTATTAAATAAATATAAAATATAAATAAAAAATAAATATTATTATACACTATATTGAACATTATATATAATAGTACTGACACTAAAACTCTAAACTTGATTTTCCCCCTAATTTAATATATATATATATATATATATATATATATATTAAATTAGGGGGAAAATCAAGTTTTAGTGTCAGTACTACTATATATAATGTTCAATATAGAGTATATATAATAATGTAATGGGGGAATATTTGTGGGTCCTGATAATGCCAAATATCTAGTCAGTGAAAGAGTGCAAGCATATTCGTCAAAAATAATTCTGTATTTTCAGCTTCAGAATCATGAATATTTTTATTCTGCTGTCTCTATTGTCCTGTGCATTGGGTTTCAAATTTTTATTTATTTTTTTTATTTATATTTTTTAGCTTTATTGAACAGGACAGTAGAGATTTGGGGAATGGGAAAGCTGTGCGCTATATGTCGGCACTCACCACAAGACTGTTCATTTACACCCACAATGTTTTAGTCTAGACGTCTGTGCTGTGTCTGGACGGCTATTAGACGTCTTTTAAACGTAAACGTAAAATTGCTTGCTGGGCATTTTAGCTCATTTTATATATTTTACCCTCTCCAATCAACTTTTTAATCAAAGTGCGCTGTTCTTCATTACACTGGAGCAGGAACAGCCTTTTACTCCGAGAGAAATGTACAGTACAGTACTGCCTTTGTCCTTAAATAAGGGCCACTTGTTTGACACCAGTTTTTTCAGAATGAATAACCTCACTACTGAAGTCCACAAAGTTATTTTGAACAAAGCGAATGATCTAATTACCCAGAATAAGCAGCAATGCATGTCATGACTGTTGGGTCTGTTGTTTTTCTGTTACTCTTTTACACCGACTAAAGTATGAGTCAAATATAATTTCTACCAAAACAGTGATTGATCTGGTTAGTGATGTTGGACTGCTATTATTTTGAACTTAACTGTGTGCATATACTGTATATATATACACACGCACACACACACACTGGTAACTTAAAGGGATAGTTCACCCAAACATGTAAACTCAGTCAGTAATGACTCTCCCTCATGTTGTTCAACTCCGTCAGACTTTCCTTCATCTTTGGGTCACAAATTAAGATATTTTTGATTAAATCTGAGAGCTGTTTCACTCCTTCATAGGCTTCTATTGTAATTGAAACTTGCCGGACCAAAAAGTTATTAAAGACATTGTTAAAATAGTGCGAGTGACGACAGTGGCTCAAACTTATGTTTATCAAGCGACTAGAATACTTTCTGTGCGCAAAAAAACAAAAATAACGACTTTATTCAACTCTTCATTTCCTTCTCTGTTGGCCTAGAGATAGTTCACGTAGTGTAACAGCGCACGCAGGGTCACTATTGGCCGACGCTGGTCGTGTGTGTGGTGTACAACCTAGAAACTTTGCACGGTTCCACTAGTCTACGTGAAATCTTGAGGACTATCATCATGAACTATGAACTGAACTAGTTAATTTTAAAATATGTGAACTAAACTTTGAACCAGTTCATGTAGAAAGTGAACTTTCTCAACACTGCTAAAGATCCTCTTTGATCATTGGCTGAGTCTTTGCCATTTTGGCTGTTCCTCGATCCATTCGAATGGTAGTTTTCTGATGGGTTTCTGGTTTTGGTTGCCATTTCAAAGTATATATATATATATATATATATACTTAATAATATACCATATATATATATATATATATATAAGCTGTGACGTAGTAAATCTAGTTTATTTTTTATTTTTTGGCTAGTAGAAGTTCTGAAGTGTCCGGTAACTTAAAGGTATACTCCACTTTTTTTTGGAAATAGGCTCATTTTACAACTCCCCCAGAGTTAAACAGTTGGGTCTTACCGTTTTCGAATCCATTCAGCCGATTTTCTGATATTTAGAAGAATATCAGTAACCAGACAGTTTCTGGTTCCGATGAGTTTCTTTCTTCTGCTGAACTCAAAAAGAAGATTTAATATAGAACAGTTAATAAAGCCATTGACTTTCATAGTATTTTTATTTCTACCATTGAAGTCAATGGGGTCCAACAACTGTTTGGTTGAAGGATTAGTTCACTTTAAAAAAAAAAAAAAACTTTTGCTGATAATTTACTCACCCCCATGTCATCCAAGATGTCCATGTCTTTATTTCTTCAGTCGAAAAGAAATTTAGGTTTTTGATGAAAAAAATTCCAGCATTTTTCTCCATATAATGGACTTCAATGGGGACCAAACGGTTCAAGGTCCAAGTGCAGCTTTAAACGACACCAGACGATGAATAAGGGTCTTATGTAAAATGAGCCGTATTTCCAAAAAAAGTGGAGTATCCCTTTAAAAATGTAGTAACCAAATTGGCCTGTGAGTAAAAAAGTAATCTGATCTGTGTTGTGTTCCTCAGATCGTCTGGTCGTCTGAGTTCTCCGTGGTCTCTCCATGCCTCCGTCTCCTCTAGACGACAGGATTGTGGTGGCGCTGCCAAGGCCTTTACGCCCTCAGGACCTCGGACTGCGCCGGGACACCAGCTCCCTGGAAGAAGCCATCGAGGTGAAGATCCAGGACACCAAGCTTTCGTATATGCCCTCGTCCAGCGGCTCCACGCGCTCGCTGACGTGTGGATGCAGCAGTGCCAGCTGTTGCACCGTGACCACCTACGAGAAAGACGTTCGGGTCAGCGCCAGCAGTCCTAACTTAAACTCTGGCGTGGGATATGGCGTTCACGTGCCGGTGGGACACGGGAGTGCGCCGAGTCTCACCTCAAGCTTGATTAGGGGAGGCATGCGGGTCATCCACCCTAACGAGCTCGCTAAGAAGCTCACGCAATGCCCGCTGGGACACCCGATCGGCCCGGTTCCGGTCATCATCGACTGTCGACCGTTCATGGAGTTCAACAAGAGCCACATCCGAGGCGCCGTGCACATCAACTGCTCGGATAAGATCAGCCGGCGACGGCTCCAGCAGGGGAAGATCACGGTGTTGGATCTCATCTCCTGCCGGCACAGCAAGGACTCCTTCAAAGGGATTTTCTCCAAAGAGTTGGTGGTGTACGATGAGACCACGGTGGATCCGGGCCGGCTGACGCCCTCGCAGGCCCTGCATGTGGTTCTGGAGTCGCTGAGGAGGGAAGGGAAGGACCCCGTCGTTCTTAAAGGTTAGTTGCTGATGAACGTTTCCGTCATTCGAATGCTATTTCTTACGACATCTGAAAATCTTCTTAAAGGAATATAGTTCACCTAAAAATGATCATTCGGTATGAGTTTCTTTCTTCTGCAGAACACAAAAGAAGATATTCTGAAGAATATGGTTAAAGGAGTAGTTCACTTTTGGAAAAACTTTTGCTGAAAATTTACTTTTTCACTCGAAAAGAAATTAAGGTTTTTGATAAACATTCCAGGATTTTCTCCATATAATGGACTTCAATGGGGTCCAAACGGTTCAAGGTCCAAAAGAGTGTTTCAAGGTCCGTTTCAGTGCAGCTTTAAAGGGCTTTAAACGACACCAGACGATGAAAAAGGGTCTTATCGAGCAAAACGATCGCTCATTTAAAAAAATTTTAAGTTTAAGTTTTATAAGCTCAAATGCTCGCCTTGCTCTACGTTCGTGACTCTCCTGTTCGAACTCATTCATCAAAATGAACGAATCTTATTTCGAAAAAAAATTCATTAATTTTGATGAGCAAGTTCGAACAGGAGAGTCACGAATGCGCATCACAGAACAGAGCAAGGCGAACACTTGTGCTTATAAAACTTAAACTTTTTATTTATTTTTTAAATGAGCACTTGTTTCATTAGATAAGACCCTTATTTATCGTCTGGTGTCGTTTAAAGCCCTTTGAAGCTGCACTGAAACTCTCATTTGGACCTTGAACCGTTTGGACCCCATTGAAGTGCATTATATAGAGAAAATCCTGGAATGTTTTCATCAAAAACCTTAATTTCTTTTCGACTGAAGAAAGAATGACATGGACATCTTGGATGACATGGGGGCGAGTAAATTATCAGCAAAAGTTTTAAAAGTGAACTACTCCTTTAACCAAACAGTTGTTGGACCCCATTGACTTCAATGGTAGAAATAAAAATATTATGGAAGTCAATGGCTTTATTAACTGTTCTATATTAAATCTTCTTTTGTGTTCAGCAGAAGAAAGAAACTCATTTTTGCGCGAACTATCCCTTTAAGAAAGACGTTTAGGAAAAGAATTATAATTTAAAGAAATATTAAAAAAATCTATGGTTTGGAGTCGCTGAGGAGGAAAGGAAAGGACCCCGTCATTCTTAAAGGTTAGTTGCTGTCGTTGAGCATGTTAGGAAACATTTCCATCATTTGATTGCTATTTCTTTTGACATCTGAAAGTCTCATTGAAGGGATAGTTCACCTAAAAATTAAAATTCTCTTATTATTTGCCCTCCCATAAACCTGTATGAGTTTCTTCCTTCCGCTGAACACAGGAAGATATTTTGAAGAACCAAGAACTAAAGAATTGTTGGACCCCATTGATCTTTGTAGTAGATATACAAAAAAAATAATAGAAGAAAGAAACTCTTTGGCATTTTTGGGTGATCGACCCCTTTAAGAACCATTTTTGGTTTCCCGGAGAAGTGAGCAGTTCTTAAAAGAACATTTTAATAATCTTAAGAATCCTTTTCACCCTGAAGAACCTTTTGTGGACTGGAAAGATTCCATGGATGTAAAAAAATATTTTTAATAAAGAACCTTTTTTTTTTTTTTTTAAGTGTAAGTGAAACGTTAATATTTGAGAACAACTTTTTCATTTTTGAAGAACTGCTTCTTGAAAATTCAATTCAATTCAATTTATTGATGGATAGCCCCTTGAGATGCAACTTCTCATAACACAAAATGAAAATGAAAAAGTTGTTCTCAAATATTTAAAATTTTACATAATAAGTACATCTTTTTTATTTTTAAGAAGAAAACTGATGACAATGGAGGATATCCTAACTTTAAGATGTGACTTACAATGTTTTTAAAGTAAATAATTTTCAGGAACTTGTATATTAGAACGTTTTCTACTATTCCCCCAAACATTTCCTATTTTCGTAAGTTAGAAAATTGCAGTAAAGAGGTAATTTTGTTCATGTGAATTGTTTTGTGAGACTAACCCCGGCGTGTGTGTGCCCTTTCACAGTCATTTGAGTCTAGCAGAACTAGAGCTCTTTACTTCTAGAATGACTCGTTATTTAACGCCTACTTTTTGTTTCACTGGCATATGATCTACTTTTCAAACATCATTCTGTGTTCTCAAAGATGATCGCACACTCTTAAACATGCCTCTGCTTGGAGTTTTTTGAAGCAACGCTTTTGAATAATCATATGGGATTTTTACATTATTTTTTTTTTTGCGTAATCTTTGGTTTTCTGTTTGCCACTGTTTAGCCTTGACTGTTTCTGATACACTACCGTTCAAACGTTTGGGGATATATATATATATATATATATATAATAGGGATGCACAATATTTGATTTGGCCGATATACGATATAACTAATTTGGCCCAATACCGATGTATTATTATTATTATTTTATGTGCAATAAAGCTTATTAAAGCTTCTATTCAATTTCTCAGTCAAGAGCAGTGAGTGATTTCCTCTTTGTGTTTTGTTGTTTTATTAACATTAAAGGGATTAGATCTCCTGAAAATTGTAATTGTCATTATTATTTACTCTCTCAAGTTGTTTGAAACCCAAATAAATGTCTTTCTTCTGTTGAAAATAAAATTCATTTGAAAGAATGTGGCTAACCAAACAGTTGCAGTCCTCCAGTGACTTCCACAGTATATTTAAGCACAAGAAAGAAAATTCGAGGGGGTAAATAATGACAATTTTTATTTTTGGGTGCAGTGTCTCTTTAAGGATAAGCGGCAGCATATTTAGAGAGAGAGAGACTTTTATTATTTTATTTTATTATACTATTTATACTATTATTATACTATTATTTATACTGTTATTACTATTTATTATTTATTTTACTTTTATTCAGCAAGAATGCATTAAATTGATCGAAAGTAACCGTAAGACATTTATAATATTACAAAATAGGGAACATGATGTTCTTTTGAACTTTCTATTCATCAAGAAACCCTGGAAAAAAATGATCACAGTTTCCACAAAAACATGAAGCTGTTTTCAACATTGATAATAATGAGAAATGTTTCTTGATCATCATATCATCATAGAGTGATCTCTGAAGGATCATGTGACACTGAAGACTGGAGTAATGATGCTGAAAATTCAGATTTGATCACAGGAATAAATTAAATCTTTAAATATATTCAAATAGAAAAAAATACTTTTAAATTGTAATAATATTTCACAATTTTTATGATCAAATAAGTGCAGGCTCTGTGAACAGAAGAGACCTTTGAACGACATTGTGCCTTTTGCTTAATGTATAATATGCATGGGTGTCACATGATCCTCACAGTGATGATTTTTTTCCTCTTCTTTTGTGTGTGACATTGTAAAGCACATCGGTCAACTTGTGTTGTTTTAATTGTGCTATATAAGTTGCTTTTGCTATTTGATTTATTTTGTTGCATAATAAGGCTCATGTAGAATGATAAATGGGTTTGCTATACATCAACCATATGTTTTGCATCCACCATACAGTAGACCGGTTACATCTACACGTAACACTGCAGGTCATTGAGTATTCGCATGTCCATGTGTCTCGCTGCGACTGCCATGTGATCAGTGTGTGGTCAAGGGACGATGGCAGAGCGTGCCCGTCTTACTGAAAACCAGACACACACTTTATAGATCTGCTCCAAAACACAGTGCTGCTGCATAGAGAGAGACAGTCATATTGTTTTCCGAAAGGTAGGGAGCAACATGAGGCCTTTTATAAGTTAGCGTCTTTTGGCCAAATCTGTTGTGGCATATGAACTAATCCCAGAAGGCAATGCGTGACGAAATCCAAGATGGCAATTTTATTTATATAGCACTATTTACTACAGCCACAGTTGAGTTGACCCATGTGCTTTACAAGAAACGGACTAAAAAAACGACAAGAACACAAGGATAGAAATACAAAGCAATGAAGCATAACATAGTGAGTGGTTTATGAGAATCAAAAATTCTGACTTTATAACACAATTCTGACTATACATCAGGCAATTCTTTCTGACTTTATATCGTGAAATTCTGACTTTATATCACACAATTGTGTCTATATCATGCAAATATTACTTTGTAACACAATTGCGACTTTATATCTCTCAATTCTGACTATATCACGCAATTCTGACTTTGTCACGCAATTCTGACTTTATATCGTGAAATTCTGACTTTATATCTCGCAATTCTGTCTATCACGCAATTATGACTTTATAACACAATTGCGACTTTATATCTCGCAATTCTGACTATATATCTCGCAATTCTGACTTTATATCACACAATTCTGACTTTATATCACACAATTCTGACTTTATATCGTGAAATTCTGACTTTATATCACGCAATTCTGACTTTATAACACAATTGCGACTATATATCTCTCAATTCTGACTTTATATCACGCAATTCTGACTTTATATCACGCAATTCTGACTTTATAACACAATTGCGACTTTATATCTCTCAATTCTGACTTTATATCACGCAATTCTGACTTTATATCGTGAAATTCTGACTTTATATCTCAATTCTGACTTTATATCTCGCAATTCTGACTTTATATCGTGAAATTCTGACTTTATATCTCTCAATTCTGACTATATCACACAATTCTGAATTTATATCACACAATTGTGTCTATATCACGCAATTATGACTTTATAACACAATTGCGACTTTATATCTCTCAATTCTGAATTTATATCTCACAATTCTGACTTTACAACACGCAATTCTGAGAAATATAGTCAGAAGTACGAGATGTAAACTCACAATTGTGAGAAAAAAGGTCAGAATTGTGAGAGAAAAAGTCACAATTACCTTTTTTATTTTTCATTCTGTGGCAGAAACAAGTTTCCATAGTATACTGTACAAGTTTAATTGAAAGCCCATTTTGTCAGTGGTGAAGTACTCCTTTATATTACATTACATTATAGCTAATGATATATAGCTTAAGTTTTGGAATAGCTTAGCCATACATGGGGACACTGACTACAAGTTTTTAAAATACAACTTAAGACACATTTGTTTGCCATGGCGTATTATTGTATTACTAAGCACATTGGTCAACGTGTTGTTTTAATAGTGCCGTATATATTTTTTAAGTAGTCTGATGATGTTTATGTATCTTGAGGATCTCGTTTAAATGTTGTTGTGTTCGTGTTTGTAACTGCTGTTACACACTGTTATTATCCTGCCATTTTGGCCAGGTCTCTCTTGAAAAAGAGGTTTTTAGTCTCGATGAGATCGTCTGGTTAAATAAAAGTGAAATAAAAACATAAAATAAAAGTGACATTGACATTATTGAGGGACTGTTGAGGAATATCACTTGTACAGACTTGCCAACTTCCTTTGCCCAGCAGGTAACTCCTTTGTTTTTGAGGTTTTGAAAGATTTGAGTCTTAGAAAGTCAGTCGGGTTGTTTTTAGAAACTGGATATCAGTGGGTTTCTAAAAATGAACAAGCGTTGAAGGTGCTTTCCATGCATGCATTAATGAGAGATTGTGTCACCGCAGGAACCCCCTTCAGTCTCAGTTGATGAGGAGGATGAGTGAGAGGTTAACAGGTGTGACAGGTTTCACATTTGACTAACTGAAATTTAACAGACTATAACGTCACACCCTTTATTCATCGACGTCTGTGAGCGGAGGAAGCGCAGATGTCCATGTGTGGCCGGTTAAACATTTATCAGAAGCGTGCTTGCCGATGTTTGTTCTTTGTCATCAGTGTTTCAGCCGCTGTTTGCTGAGAGCTCAGGGGTTTCCAGCCAGTAACATAACTTTAATTATAATATATCAAAAAATAAGATTATAATAATTAGAATGTATTATGCCTAATATAATAATATTTATGGTTGTGTTTTACATTGTATAGCAACATCATCACTTATATTTAATAATATTATAATTAAATACTATAATATTAATTATATAATGTAATTATAATTATATAATATACATTTTTCATTAATTATCGCTTTGGGTAAAAGTGCTTAATTGTAAATGCAAATTATAGAAATTTATATTTGAAAATGGAAATAGAAATATTATATTATTTATGTTCTAAAAATAGAAAATATATAATAAAATATTTATATAAAATATATATTTTTATATAAAATATTTAAAAATACCTAATAATGTATTCTATAGTATAAAGTAATATTATGATTAATATTTTTAATCTCATTATTAACTATTATAAAATGGAAATGGAGATTAAATTAGATTGTTATAAAAGACATAATTATTATATACAAATTATGATCTGAATGCCTAATAATGATAATATATGATGTTGTATTTTTGTTGTATAGCAATATTATAATTTATATTTAATAATATCATAATTAAATAATATTAAGTATATAATGTAATTATAATTATATACTATTAATTAGAATGAATAATGTTTTAAATAATTATCGCTTTGTATAAAATGTAAATTATATGGATTATATAATAAATTAGAAATAGAGATTATATGATGTGATATTATTTACTTGTATATAAATTATTGATAATATACTGTGTATATATGTGCAATTTCTGTCATATTTATACGTGTTTCTTAAATGTGAATTTATATCTCATATAACAACTGTGATAAGCACTGACTGGTCTCAGGATATAGTATTAATCATCCAGCATGCAAATAAGACAGATCTGTCACGCGATCTAGAATTTATCCAACATGAAATGCAAATTGCATGCAAAAATTTTGTGTGTGTGTGTCACCTGACCTCAAAAACAGGAGACATCTCTTATGATTAGAGAAATGAGCACACAACTGCCTAGACTGTTGCTACTGTACATTCAAAATAAATGAAGGACAGAAATGTTATATAAGCAAATTAAAGTGTCATGCTTCTGCAAGGAGATTTAATTTTCATATATCAACTATAGTTTTAGCTTCTTTCTGTTGGTGTTCTGCAGTGATGTTTGTATTTTCTGTTATTGTGAACCCAAATAAATTAAACGCCTTATATAATGCCCTTTTTTAATAGTTATTTGTGAATTTATGTTGCTGATGTGGAGATATCTTTTAGTCATTGATTAGCACATTCTGTCTTGATAATCTATAAATCACGTTCCCGGGGGCGGGGTTTATGTCAATTTTAGGGTTGGCGATGTCACTATCCCAAGAGGAAGCTCGTGTAGTTCTTCCAGCCGTTTGTTGTAGTCCTTAAAAAATGATTTCTTTAAAAGCAAATATCTCACTTTGAGCGTTGTAATTGTTCATATGCTCAAACAGCAACATTAAAAAAGTTAAAAAAGTGAAATCATAATCAACCACCCCTTTAAAGGTGCTGTATGTAACTTTTTTACTCTACTAAAGCATAAAAATAACATGTTTGCAGAGATTTAGGAAACATGCTTCACATACTCGTTTCTTTGAAAACCACTTCTACATCCAGTTATTTTACTTATTATTTTACACTTTCGGTATTGTCAGTCTGTTGTTGTTTTGGTCTGTGTGACTCCGCCCACTGCCAGTTTAGCCAATAGTATTTCGACACCTCCGAGATGCCACTTGGCGGGAAACACAGAAAACCACACAAACTAAAAAGCCTCGATATCCATCTATATCTATGAATGATCAACTCAAGGAAGTCTTTCATTGCCAATTGTTCTCGTTTCTGTCGCGTGTCCTTTAACTGGCACCTCAGTCTGAGGTGGAAACAATGATCTCTGATATTTTGTATTTGGACTGCAGTACCGATATCGACCACTAGCTGACGTTCTCACAGACTGCACCTTTAAAGTAATGAATGTTTTTGCGTTGGTCTCTTATAGGAGGCCTTTCCGGGTTCCGGCAGAACCACGATAATCTGTGTGAGCACTCGCTTCACCTGGAGGAAGGACCGGACGGCAGTACCGCGATGGGCCTGTCGGGGGCGCTACCTCTTTCCCTGCCCTCCACACCTGACATCGAGAACGCGGAGCTGACGGCCATCCTGCCCTTCCTTTACCTGGGCAACGAACGCGACGCTCAAGACCTGGAGTTGATGCAGCGCATGGACATCGGGTTCATCCTGAACGTCACCACACACCTGCCGCTCTTCCACTACGAGCTCGGCCTCTTCAACTACAAGCGCTTCCCCGCCACCGACAGCAACAAGCAGAACCTGCGGCAGTACTTCGAGGAGGCTTTCGAGTTCATAGGTATGATGATAAAGAGAAGAGCGGGGCAATCTCATGACACCTGACGAGGACGTGTTCGGGTTATATTTCAGCCCCAAAGTCAACCGGAATATATATAATGTGTATATATATATATATTAAATCACAAATTATGCAGAATTATTAAACATAATATACTTTCAAATTGAAAATTTGAAAAATAATAAATAAATAAATAAATATATATATATATAATTACTAATAAACTATATAATATAATTATAATAAAACATTATAATATTAAAACATAATTAAAAGCATTATACTTTACAATTGATCTGTAACTATATTTTTTATTATATATATATATATATATATATATATATTATATACATGCAATTTATATACATAAGTTCTAATTAAATATTACATACATTACATTAATTAATTATTACAATAATTATATATATATTTATATAATTAATAATATTGTTATATTAATATTATATTATTATAATTATATTAATATTAATAAAATTATAATAAAACATTAAACATGTTGTTTAATTATACATACTATTAAAATAAGATAATTCATATATAATGCATATTTATAATGAATCATTTTTAAAAAAAAATTATAAAAATAGTTACAATTTATGTATAATTATATGTAACACATTATATATAATTAATCATTACATTATATTAACTAAATAAATTATAATAAAAATTAAGTTTTACAAACTAATATGTACACCTATATATAGACCATTTCACAAGATGTAAACAACACTGGTCCAGAAGCACTTCCTGTTTCAGTTTAACACTACATAAAAGCTGAGATAAAATACAACCAACAGAACATTTAAAACTGAATCAAAAAGTAAAACAAACATCTTTAAGATGTTTTCTTTACATGTGAAATAAAGAAAACAGTTACAAACTGAAACAGGAAGTGCTTCTGGACCAGTGTTGTTTACATCTTGTGAAATGGTCTATATATATATATATATAAGTAAAAGGGAGACTATAGTGAGCAGAGGCATTAGTGACTTGACAAATATTTAAGAATTTGAAATATTTCTGGCATTTTCCTAAAAGCCAGTGGCGGTGGGTCTGTTCGACACAACTCCCATCGTGTTGAATGTATTGATCTCTGCTCAAGCTCATTCTGGTGTGTTTTCTGTCCACAGAAGAGGCTCATCAGGCCGGTCGAGGACTCCTCATCCACTGCCAGGCCGGTGTGTCTCGATCCGCCACCATCGTCATCGCATACCTGATGAAACACACCTGGATGACCATGACTGACGCTTACAAGTTCGTCAAATCCCGGCGGCCCATCATCTCGCCAAATCTCAACTTCATGGGTCAGCTTTTAGAGTTTGAAGAAGATCTGAATAACGGCGTCACTCCACGTATACTGACGCCCAAACTCACCGGCGTCGAGACCGTCGTATAAGATCTCTAATTCCCACATGGAATATGCTCTTGTTGCCATTTTAGACACTCTCTTGGACGAGGATTTGGAGACTTGCATGAGGAAAATGACCCGTCCTGTGAGTGTTCAGCCAAACACTGTGTTATGGTCTTTTCTGATGGCTCTTGGCCACTGGTACTGGCTAAAGCCCCCAGAGGAGTCTGGGAAATCAAGGCTTGTATCATTCTTCTAAATCTATTTTTATACAGGAGCGCGATTACAGCACTGTGCAATAATCAACAACCGGGTGTGTGATGATGTGTATATAACGATACGATACTGAGACTTCCAGCCCACCTGGTTAGATGTGCTTGTTTTGTTTTTTTGTCACGGATCTTTTCATTTAAGTTCAGTTTAGATGCACTGATTTTCTTCTTTTTGACATTTAAAATAGTCAGCAGTAGGGATGCACCGATATGAACATTTTGGCCGATACCGGTAACCGATAATTCTTTATATTTGAAAGCCGATAACCGATAATTCTTTATATTTAAAAGCCGATAACCGGTAGTTCCTTATATTTAAAAACTGATAAGCGATGATTGTTTTTACTTAAAAGCCGATAACCAATAATTATTTATATTTGAAAGGCAATAACTGATAATTCTTTATATTTGAAAGCCGATAACCGATAATTCTTTATATCTGAAAGCCGATAACCAATAATTATTTATATCTGAAAGCCGATAACCGATAATTCTTTAAAATTTAAAAGCCGATAACTGATATTTATATTTAAAAGCCGATAACCGATAATTCTTTATAATTTAAAAGCCGATAACTGATAATTATTTATATTTAAGAGCCGATAACCGATAATTCTTTATAATTTAAAGGCTGATAACTGATAATTAATTATATTTAAAAGCCGATAACCAATAATTCTTTATATTTGAAAGGCAATAACTGATAATTCTTTATATTTGAAAGCCGATAACCGATAATTCTTTATATCTGAAAGCCGATAACCGATAATTCTTTATATCTGAAAGCCGATAACTGATAATTCTTTATAATTTAAAAGCCGATAACTGATAATTATTTATTTTTAAAAGCCGATAACCGATAATTCGTTATATCTGAAAGCCGATAACGATAATTCTTTATAATTTAAAGCCGATAACCGATATTTCTTTATATCTGAAAGCCGATAACCAATAATTCTTTATAATTTAAAGCCGATAACCGATATATCGGCCGATAAATCTAAATTCAAATTTTAATATAATTTTTGAGAGCCTGATTACAAAAACAAAAGCCACGTTCCAAACACAATTATATAAAGTTCTCATTATAATTTTATGTAGAGGATACATGACAGATTTTGCGATGCACATGTTGCACTTAACTGTATTTTCATTTTTTTGAAGTGATTCCAATCATATTTCAAGCAAATCAAACCCATCATGTTGAACATTCGCATCTGAAGTGTCTCAGCTGAAGGAAATAATACATTATCAGCTTTAATAATATCAGCCAAATGTTCTTATCGGGCCGATAACGATAACGTTAAAAATGATCAAATATCGGCCGATACCGATATATCGTGCATCTCTACTCACCAGCTTTAAACATGTCTTGTGTGAGCATTAATCGCTGACAATCAGAACAAACCTAATTGGAATGTCCTTTCAAAATAAAGGATTGCATGATTACTACAGGCGTTTGGACAAGAAGTATATTACTATTATATCATCATCATCCAAGTATAGATTAAACCAGTTGCTTGAAGATTAAATGACATGAGAGTGAGTAAATCATTTTAATATTCCTATTTGCTTTTTTAAGTCACCGTTGCACTTTCATATTTGTACTTCCGCTTCTGTAAGTGTGTGTTTGAGAACACATGAGAACAGTATATTATGCTTGTATGTATTTGTTTGTTTTTCGGCTTGGATGATTCACTGTGAACGGTGTAAAATTCGAAGGCTTGATGTTTGCGCACACACACACGTCAGCCGTCAGTAAGAATTGTGCCTCTATCGGTGCCTTAACTTATATTCTGTGACTTTAAACGGCTTTAAACTCTTCTTAAATTCTCTTTAGCGCAAGGATGTTTCTGTGAGGTGCTCGAATGTGCTAGAAAAAGCAGAAGGTTGAATTTTTTTATTATTTTTTTTGTGGACAGTACCTTCTTATTTTCTCAACTCAAACGCTGTGAAATAACAAAACTCTGGGCTTGTCAAAATGCACGAGAACAGCTTATCATTCTTCTTTACCTGCAGCCTGTCAAGCCGTCAAACTCATGGGCTTTTCTAAAACATACGGTTTTCATTTTTCAGCTTTACACAAACATCTTGCACTTTTTAACTAATTACTTATTGCTGCTCTTAGAAGTAGTACAACTAGAATTGGTATAAAATTTGACCTTATTTATATTTATATACTGTATATACAGTTATATATATATATATATTTATGAAGAGTTCAGATGCAAAAGCCTCTAAATGCCATTTGAAATTTTCTTTTAAAATGACCATTTTTATCAAGCTTGTGTATTTAAGTTCAGTAATTTCACTTAAATGACAACTAATAGGTAATCTTCATTGCCATTTAAGTGAAATCACTGAACTTAAATATACAAGCTTGATAAAAATGATAATTTTAGAAGAAAATTTCAAATGGCATTTAGAGGCTTTTGCATCTGAACTCTTCATATATATATATATATATATATATATATATACATATACATGCACACTCACACACACATTGACTTAACTTGAAATAGTTACCAGAGATCCTCAGAATCAATGAAAGCAGTCTTTTATTATTATTATTATTATTATTATTATTTTTATTATAAATAATAAAAGCCCAGCCAGCATACTTGTTAATCTAACTAAATAAACATGGTTGCATTCAAACCAGTAGATCAGACACTGTGTCAATCCCAGAAAACATCCTTCATTTCCCCTTTCTCTCCTCCTGCAGCTTCAGTCTCCAATAATAATTCAACAAGACCATTAAATGAACATGTTGGATGATAAAAACGAATGCAAAGCACATTTGTAATATTTTATGCTTTCCTGTATATATAGTGAAAGGTGCAGATTGTGTTCCTTTGGTGTTGAGCTGATGCGAAAGGTGTGTTTGTGCGATCGACCCGGAGCATCTGAATCCGCCTCAAGGATTTAAAGGGCAAAAACCCTCCGGTTGCGCTCATCCCATTTTGCAGCCGCAGACGGTACACGTATTTGCTAATGGATTTCTATGCATTGTTTATATTTTTGCACTGACTTAAAAAAAGCTTTTCATTTCTTTCTTTTTTCTTTTTTTTTAATAAATATTATTATTATTTTTCCCTCAAAGGTGCTATGACGCTGGAGGCCTTCCACGATGTTTTTGCATGACCTGCTTTGGTAAAGTGTCTTCCTGTAAGCCAAGAGCTCTCTTTAAATGTCAGAGTTCAAAACACTGTTATTTTGTAATGTGGGGTTTGGAAATAAACGACAAAAAAAGAAACGATTCTGAATGACTTATTAAGCGTTTATGGTTGCTCGACTATGGTTACATCACTGTAAGTATATTTGTAACTCTATAACTCTGTGTATCCACCCAGTAACATGATTAAAAAAACACTTTAGCAAACGCATAGCAACACCCTGGCAACCAGCCACAACACTTAAGCATAGGCATAGCAATGCTCTAACATCTGCTCAGAGGTCAGAGGTGTTGCTCAAAACTAAAGATAAAACTATTAAGAAGCTGAAGTAATTTAATTACATTTCCCTTGAAAATGTAAAGTAAGGGATTACTCTTCATTTATCTGTAATTTAATTACAGTTACTTCTGATGTAATTGAGGTAAATACTGTGTATAGATCAATCCGATCTCACAGCGATTCGTTTGCATTTTATGAGGTGTCTAAATATTACGATCGCACTCGTACAAATTCGTATGAATTATTGTAAAATATGTATGAAAAAAGTGTGAAATGTCATGAGATCAGACATAAAACAATAGTGGGTTTAACATCAAAATGTATTGTCTGATGCTAAAAAGTATGTTTTTATAATGTAACCTTCTCCACTTTGGTCAGTTTAAGGATAATTCATGCAATTTATAGTATTTATTTGAAAGAATTAAAACAGATTCATGTCTATCCTTGTATAATTCAGCTGGTTGAGATTGATATGGGATTTTGAAAGTAATTAGCAATTAAAAGTAATTAAATACTTTTTAGAGAGAGTAATTCGTACAGTAATCTAATTACACTGTTGAAGGGGAAATTAGTAACTAGTAATTAATTACTTTTTTAGAGTAACTTACCCAACACTGAACACAAATATTAGATTAAAAACTTAACTTAAAAACCAATAACAAAAGTTGAAAACTAAATTAAGTTGAAGTACTAGAAGTTTTGCATATTTTCATACAGTATAGGCCTGTTTTAGGAGGACCATTAACATTTTGTTGGATTGTGATAAGTATTAGATGACTGTTAGAAATTATATTATATAGATATTAGATTATAGATTTCTCATATTAGATTTGGCAAAACCTTGAATTTAAAAACTAAAATAATATTTTATTTATATATCACTGAAAAGAAAGTATAAAAATTTACTTTTAAAAATGACCTTTTAAAGGTAAAAAAGTAGCCTATATATATATATCAAAATCAAGCTAAATCAACACAATTAACTTGGATGTTTAAGTTGTTTTAACTTAAATTTCATTAACCTGCATGACTTTTAAAAAATGAGTTGAATCTTGTATAATTTATATACTAGTACTAATTTATATACTATATACTGAAATAAATGTATTAAATGATGTAGGCCTACTAAATTTACTAAAACCAAAAGATTAAAGCTCAATGGAAACATTTTAAGACAAACTAATAAAAAATGGGGGAAAAAAATATTCAAACTAAATATGAATACATACTAAAATAAAGAAATAAATTGCACTTACATTTTCATAAGAACATGAAAAAAGTCTTTTGTAATAAATAACGCTTAATATGTATTCAAATATGAGAAAATGTCACACTCTCGACCCTGAGTCGGTCTATATTTGCTCTGTGATATTGTCCGGCTGGGAGGCTTGAATTCTCCCCGCAGGAGCAGAGGCCAAAAATAGTTTTTAGTGTGGTTTCTAATTAGAAGTGATGAGAGTCCCGCCTCATTAATTTGGTCCAATGGTTGCTGTCAGTCTTTCGCACTAGAATAGCCGTGATCACAGTCTGACGCCGGGATCCGTGTTATGGACGTATTAGGCAAAGCATGAGCAGAAAGGAGGAGCTCAGGGTTTGCTCGTCCATATCTCACGGGTCCTCAGTTATGTTTCAGCCAAGGTTTAACTCACTGCAAAAAGATTTTTGACTTGTTGTGTCCTTTAGAAGAAAACCAATCTCACCCAAATGGGATCTTTTTCTGTGGAGAGCAATCTAACAAACTGATTTGCTTGTATCATGGGAAGTGAACCATGTAACCCCCCTTGGGTCTGATTCGGGGTCAGCTGTCGGGGAATGTCCCACCTTACAGACATTTCTAAAGTGTGCCATGACTGAATAACCCTCATAATCTCTTCATTCAGCTTATTAAACTAGGAGATCCTCTGTGAAAAACTCATCCAAGACCTTCAGGACTCCAGCGTTACTCTCATGTGTTTGTGTATGTGTATGTTTGACAGTAATCATATTTCTGTAAGTCATATTTCACCCCAACCTCAAAAGAATGAAAATAAATCATAATTTTGCATATGAAGAGTTCAGATGCAAAAGCCTCTAAATGCCATTTGAAATTTTCTTCTAGAATGATCATTTTTATCAAGCTTGTATATTTAAGTTCAGTGATCTCACTTAAATGGCAATGATAATTACATATTAATTGTTATTTAAGTGAAATGACTGAACTTAAATATACAAGTTTTATAAAAACCATCATTAAAGAAGAAAATTTCAAACGGCATTTAAAGGCTTTTGCATCTGAACTCTTCTGACCTAAACGTTTTTTTTTTTGTTTTTTTGTTTTTTTGTTTTTTGCATTGTGATATAATTTCCTGCCAATAATGCACATTACACCTCATATTCTCATTGGTTACAGATAACTTAAACTAAAGTCTTAAAAAAGTCGTTATTTGAAATCAAATAGCTACACTTTAAAAGGGTCATATAATGCCATTTTTGTACAAGTTAATATAAATCTTTAGGGTCTAAATGAAAACTTCGTAATATACTTTTATTAAAAATTCTCATTAATATTGTAAGAAAACACTAATTTTACCTGGTCAAAAACAGCTTTGTTTTCAGCACGCCGTTTCAGTGCATGTGTCTTTAAATGATAATGAGCTTCGCTGACTCCGCCCCTCTCTTCTGTGGGCCTTTTGACACAACACACGTTGCCTTGACAACAGTTGAGGTTTAGATAAAGAATGGCAGCGGGAGTCTTTGAGGACGCATCTGTACAACATATCAGTTTGAACCGGAGTCGGACCCGGAGCAAGATGACGGCCGTGAAGAAGTTCGACAATTAAAGGAGACGTTCACTTTAAAAAAAAAACATTTGCTGATAATTTACTCACCCCCATGTCATCCAAGATGTCCATGTCTTTCTTTCTTCAGTCGAAAAGAAATTAAGGTTTTTGATGAAAACATTCCAGGATTTTTCTCCATATAATGGGCTTCAATGGGAACCAAACGGTTCAAGGTCTAAAAGAAACTGCAAACTGTTCAAAGTGCTTTAAATAATTTCAGACGATGAATAAGGGTCTTGTCAAGCGAACTGGCGGCCATCTTGTCACAGGCAAGCTTTCTGGCGGGCTCTGTGGTTCCGGCAAGATGAGTGATCAAACTGTTTGAAAATCAGTAGAAAATTGATCAAGTTATGGTTATTTAAAAAGTACATGCGCCATTAAAACACAATGTTACGCGTGAGCGAGATGCCTGTGACAAGATGGCCGCCATGTGCGGCACAGACGAGACATCTAGCCTTTAATGGATATCTATGGCCCACATCATCAAGTTATTCTGATAAAATGCATGAATTAAAAAACATTATGATTTGCACAGATATAATAAATGTTGCAATGTTTCATATAAAATTAGAATTGTCCATTTTGTTTTCATGGTGACTTTAGGATGTCCTGCTGGCTGTTGGTTAGATGCCAATAAACAGAGTGAGACACGCTGCCCTTAAACAATGTCATTACTTTCCGCTTTTAAAGCTCATGTATACAGTAAGTGTGTTTTTGCTGGTTACTGTTGCTCTGTGTGTCTGTGCCCCACTTCAGGCTGGCCTGTCCTGTTTGCAATGAGATACTTACACTCTATACGAAACCTCTCTCGAGACAACAGCTGCAGACTTTAACAAGCAGACCATAACACCACCGCCTGTATATCACACTCTAAAAATGCTACAATGAAGACACACAATCCCATAAGGTCAGTTCAAAAATAATCAGGTCATGAGATAAAAATTGCACTTACACTGTTAGACCTTACCAGGTTTTTTTTACAGTAAAATACTGGCAACACTGTTGCCAGTAATTTACTGTAAAAATGCACTAAAACTAATAAGTTGTATTTTTTAGTTAACTTGAGTTTTAGTGCATTTTTACAGTAAATTACTGGCAACAGTGTTGTAAAAATGTACCAAAACTAATAAGTTGTATTTTTTAGTTAACTTGAGTTTTAGTGCATTTTTACAGTAAATTACTGGCAACAGTGTTGTAAAAATGTACCAAAACTAATAAGTTGTATTTTTTAGATAACTTGAGTTTTAGTGCATTTTTACAGTTAATTACTGGCAACAGTGTTGCCAGTATTTTACTGTAAAAAACCTGGTAAGGTCTAACAGTGTAGAATATGAATATAGAGGGAATGGCAATCCCAGATCATACCTTTTGATTAGAGACGCACACAAAAAATCTTCCAGTGCACCATTTATGAATACAGATTTTTTTAAAGTTGAAGTATTACATTTCAGCACTGACATAAATCTTATAACTCTAGGTAAAATGACTATAGCCAACAAATGTGTATGTTATATATATATATATATATATATATATATATACTGTAAAAATGAATATGCTTTATCTAATCAATAAAATTGTGGCAATAGATTACGAGCAATATTATTTATTAAATTGAACAAATTAGAATTGAGTGATAGTAAATCAAATTAATACTCTAATTAATTCTAATTTGTACAATTTAATTAATAATATTGCTTGTAATATGTTGCCACAATTTTATTGGTTAGATAAAGCATATTATTTTTTTCAGTACATATATATATATATATATATATATATATATATATATATATATATATATATATTAATGCATTGTATATATTAATGCATTGCATTGTTCTGCCCAGATATTATTGCCTCCTAAAATCTAATTTTTGGTGTAAATCGATTTAATACTGTGTTTACAGGCAACATTCTCCCAGTGTGTGTGTTGGTTGTTATATGCACAGTAAACAGAGGGTAAACAGAAGCAGTAATATAAA